ATTAAGCTAACAATGTAACCCCCTCTAGTACTATTCTCAAGTTAATTCAGCCCTACAGAAACATACACCAGAAAAAGTAAACATCAATTATAAGCTTTAAACTGATAGATAAAATTTGCTGTAATGCTGGCTGCACTTCACATAAGAAACTGACTTTTCACAATACTCATCATATTTTAAACATCTCAAATATTTAAGTTATGTAACAGTAAAATGCAGTGGGATTGGGCTTTTCTCAGTTCATGCAAAAGAAGCCAAATACTTTTCATATGATATCTTCACTGAAAAATCCATTTTCTTGGAAACAGAGTTTCCTGGAAAGATGGATTTCCACAGAGAAAAGAAGGAAAAGCTGAAAAATATAGCCTGGTTTTGGTGATTTTTTAACTCCCCTTCCCCCAAAATACTACATTTTGAAGCAAGTTTTCAGTAGGAAGGGAGAGAAGTTTTTGTCTTTGGTTTTTAACTTTTGCTTCTGTCCAGCTTAGTTAACTGATTCCCTATTCCTTGTGCGTGTCTCAGCCACCACAGTCCCAGTGCTGAAGGCTCCAGTACAGCCCCAGCACCCTGTGCTGGTGGAGACCTCTTTGTTTAGAGGCTGGAACAGACCAGGTCTGAAAACTGCCAGACAATATGGTCAACTTCCCCCATCATTAAAAAAACAGCAAGTAGACATTTTTAATTCACTGCTTTTGGTAGTACTGCTCTTTAATGTGTTTTAGTACTACACCAGAACATAAAAACTGCTACCTTTAAACAGGACATAAAAGTTACCTGCAGAAACTTGTCTTTCAACAGAATAGCAACTTAAAAGCTTTTTATATATTGATGGAAAAGAGATCATTAAAAACTAATTTGCTAGCACCTTGCAGACATTTGTTTATGTATATAATGCGTCAGTGAAAAATAAGAAACTGCTTGGATATACCAGGATCATGGATTAGCAAGTGCACTGTTACAACGAATGGACTGACATTATTGTTTGAGGACAAAAGTGAACTCACTGAAATTAATATTTTTTTAAGGCTTTTTATAGAAATTGTGTTTTAAGATAATGCTACATGTTACTTGTTGCACAGGGAATTTATTGAGTTTGGGCAGACAATCATAGCTGAATTATAAGTCTAACTTTTCAAATGGGATTGTGACACCACTAGTATCCTATAAACTTTCATTTTTGTACTAAAAGCATTAACTAAAAACTTTATTTAATCCATTACAGATTAGAAAAAGTATTAGTTTTTACATCGAATTATTTTCATAATACACATATCTGCAATTACTATGCATTGAAATGACATCACATTGACAGCCTGAAATTGGTCAAACATTTAAGTGTGACAAGAGGCAAAATGTCTGAAACATCAGAGTAGCCCACCTTGTCAAAGAGTTAAAAATTGACCTTTTTTCCTGAAAAAAGGTAAGAAAAGAAAAAGAAAAAGTTGCCAACAATCACCTTTAGGATAACAAATAATATTTCATCTGGTTTAGGCCTTGTGCAACTGCAAAGTTGGTTACCCATTCAAACTCCATACAAATCTTACATGTAAATTTTCTTCTGTGCACTAGATTCAAGGGTTTGATGGGCTTGTATTTCCTTCAAGCTGTTTGTGCCATTGAACTACAGCAAGATGGAAAGTTAAATTTTATAGTAAGATGCTCCAGAAACTTCTAAATTGCCACCTGTTGTTCTTACAAAATCTGGACAGTTACTAATGAAAGTGAATATCCAATTTTCTTCACTGCCTGGTTATAATATTTGCTGTGAAAAAAAGAGCAGCTGCAACACAGAAGATAGGCAATCGCACAAATTCCAACAGAGGTAAACAAAACTTAAAACTAGAACCTGTTGGAGTTAACCACCCTCGACTTTATTTTTATATATTTGGAGAAGATTCAAAAAAAACAGAAGAATAAAATGAAAATATACAGAATACATACAGAGTAGGTGGCACTAACTCACCTTAGAGCAACTGATACAAATATAAATTCAACATATTCAAGAGTATTGAGGATTTTGAATACATACTCCACATGCGACTGGATTATTTTGTCCAATAGCATGTAACAGCTAAAGTGTGGTCCTGTTGTTCTGCCTTTCCTTCTAACTAGACATTGGCAATACCAATATGCCAACTAAAACTCGTTGTCATCCAACACAGCAGCAAAAGACAGCATTTTGCTGAACACATAAATGTAACTGAAATATGAGAATGGGTCTTTTCCAAATCATTGTCTACAGGTATTTACAGTTTATCTTACAAGTTTTACGACTTACAGTTTTAGAGTATTACGTCCAGTCAAAAAGTAGGACAGGTTTTTGAAGTCATCATTTTCTGGAGCAGCACCAGATAAAGAGTCAAATATTTATAAGTCAAAAAACACTTAGGAAGCTAGGAGAAGACCTAATGTATAAAGAGGCAAGCAGTAAGGATACCAGGAAGGCATCTGCACACCCTGCACCTTATGTACAGGCAGTAAGAAAATTCCTGATATCACAAGAGCAGAACTTCTACATCAAGTAGTCTCCCTCTCTCTTTCTGAGGTGAAAGGCACTGCATTTTTTGATTGCTGATAAACAGCCACATTTAGAAAAAATATTTATATTCTTTATGAACCATTTCTTGTTCAAAATAAGCAAGGACAAACAGCAGGGATGGACAATGGGTAACACTGCAAGGATATGGGGAATGTAAAGCTACTAGGTTTGTGATGGTATTTGGATAATAGCAATTCAGGATGAGACTAGGACAGGAAATGCAACTAAAACCCAAGCCCTAATGAACAGGAGATACGAGTTCTGGTCTTCATTATTATCTCTGTTAGGTCACTGTCTGATGGGCCATGGAAGAAGTCACTCCGGCATGGCCTTGAAGAGATTCAACTGAACTTCAGAACAGATAAGAAGCGGTAAACAACATCATTTGTCTCCTGGGAAGGAACAAACTTATTTCAGGATGCCTGCAGGGACTTGTGGATATGTGCAATCACTTTTATGGAACATTCAGCGGATGTGCCAAAGATAGGGAAGGTGAATCAGGACAGAATGAGTGTCAGAAAATGGAGATGAAGTGGCATATAAAGGAGTCATTTGTGTAAGATGCAAGACAGTAGGTTTGTTTGGCGCAGCCCCACACCCGATAACTGCAGTCTGTCCTATGTTAAGTCCTACTGGCAATATTTCCTTCATGACTTTGCTTTCTATTCTGCATAGGTGTGATGTGCAAGCAAACTTGAGAGTTGGTCAACATCTCTAAGGAGACCTGTATCTGCAAAGACTAAGGCCTAAGCCAGTGACCAAATAAGACACCTCAGGCCTAGGCATCGATGTTGGATGAACTTAAAGCCTGTGTTAACATTTGAGTCAGTGAATGCTGGCATGCCTGTGAATCAGGAGAGGGCTGGTACATGTGTTTCACCAGCAATCTTCCAATTCTCATGACCTGGAGAAGAAATATATCAGGCTGTTTGTATTCTTATTCACCTGAGCGCTGTCTGCACTTATATGTGGTGCCAGTAAAGGCAATGCTTTTCCTCTGGGATTGTCTGTGTGACCAGTCATACCCTACGTATAGTGCCACCTTGGGAATGTGTGCTCAGTCTTACTACTGGCTGGACGTGCAGATAGGAACAGTGGCAAGCACACTAAGAGAAGAAATTCCCTGTAGCTTAGAGGCCACCAAATATACATTCCCTTCACAAATACATCATGATTATCCACTGGAATTAATAAGCATGGGTCCAACCCTCATAAAACAACGGTCTTGTGCTATACTACAGTTCTTCCAGTCTAGAGAACGCACAGCTATCTTCAAGCCTTCTTTCTCCTTCAAGTTCTGTGTGACATTCCCAGCCTTTACACTAACTCATCTTTTGCCAGCCACTCAAGATTTCACATAACCTTTTGAAAGATCAAAATGCAAGAGCAACTTAACGTCAAAATTATGCATGGATGAAGGAAAATGCTTCCAGCTCACCTTTACAGTAAAACATCTGATAATTAGCAGCCAAGCAGCAAAATATGCAAATATAATAGTTCTGCAAATTTTACAGATGCTGCTTTGAAAAGCTGTTAGATTTAATAAGCTTGCACTTTTCTCCCTAATAAAACTTCCATTACATGACCGTCAAGACCAAAATAAGACCTCATATGAACCCCAAGACCAGAGGAATACATTGGGTTTTTTAAACCTGTAAGCAATTTTTTCTGTAAATTTGTTTCTCCTTTTTTAATCATGCTGAAAGTCTCAAGGGCAGTAGAAGGGTCAAATGCACTTTTGAGCATTACTGTACATAATTTTACCTATCCAGTATTCGGTACTGATTTTATACTTTACCTTATTCTTAAACTTTCTCAGTGTAAACTTTCTGTGGCAAAAAAAACTTCATTACAATTTTTAGAAAAATCACATATTTCCATACCTTCAGCAGTGGATATAAAAGCACGTGTGATACAAACAACTAAACCACCGCTGACCTGTATGTATTACAAATCAGACCTTCTAGATCTGATGATTATATAAAATTGTCTGTCTCACAGGTAAACAGACTCTAGCTGCACCTTTCAGTACAGCCACATCATCAAGATTCCCACTTCATCAGGAACTTCATGACTGCAGTGACAACAGCATGTTTACCAGATCATTAAAGATAACCCATTCATACAAGTTTTTACAGTGTTCCTACACACTGATTTGAGCAACTAAAACATCTCATTCATCAAAAAGTACAAAAAAAGCACAAGAAAATCCACACCTTTCAAACACTACCAGTACTGGAATTTCTCCATCTATCATAACTTATTTTATCACAAACAATAAAATTTTAAAGGTACCTATGCTATGGGTGTCAGCAAGGGTTACTGTTACCTCACATAAAAACAGTTAAATGTTATTTTACATTAATAAACTTGGATAACATCATACATTTCAACAGATCTTGGAACATAAGTTAAAGGTAATAAGAGCAGGAACAAAAGAAACCTCAAGTCACGTACTTACTTATTCAACGTGAGGTCAAGGATGAATTTGGAGCCAAAGGCCTCGATCTGGAAACTTGCCTGGGCCAGATGTACAGCCTGTAAACAGGAACACACAGCTGTCAAAAGATTCACTGACCTTTATATGCAACAAATGTGACTGTGAAAAACAAAGTTATGGAAAACAGGCTTATTTTAATAAATCTCATAGGCATGTGAAAACTTTTGCCCTTGTACCAGATTCTGATTCAAAAGGATTTGCCTTTTTAGAGGGTAAAGAGAAGCAAATGGTACCTGCAAAGCATGATTTCAAATACACACTCATTCCTCACAAAAAGAAAAAAAAAGTTTCACACAAATGTCTGTTGTCAAGCTTCTTTAAAAAAAAGTCATGTAGTTACAAAATATTTTAAATACATTTAATATCATTAAATAATCTCTTAACTAAAGCCAAAACCAGTATCAAGCTTTCTCTCCATTACATTTTTTGGTAAATGTATATTTTTGTCTCATCAGTTCACTAATTTGCCAACACTAGCCTGACAAACTGAGTTTAAGTATAAAGACAAACTGGTGGCATAATCAAGAGAGAATCTGCAAGATGCATCAAAAAACCCCAAAAAAAGTCCAAAACCACACACCCAGAAAATAAAGAAAGAAAAAGCAGAGAACCTCAGATTAAATGCATGCCTAGTAGGAGAGTCTTTTAAGCCCCAGTTCCATTTTTTTTCAGAGTGAAATCAAGGAACAATTGTCACAAGGAGCTTTCCAAGAACCTGTTCATGACAAAAACCTCATTATATTTCCAACATGCACAAGTACTAATTTAATTTTTTTTAAAAAGCATGAAAATTTGTTGCAGGAAGAGGGTTGTAATTAGTTTTATGCCATAAAGATTCCACTTCATAGTTACAGGAGATACTGCTTTGAGTCCTCTCTACATATAACATTTACCTAAAATGATGTGTCTTCATATACATGCCACAAACAAGACTTCAGTGTCAACTATCTGGAAAATTTAAAAAAGCGTGTACTATTCCATTAAGCTCATTCTGACACATGATAAATCCCTCCATAGGCATCTGACTGTTCTTAGGGACAGCTAGATGGATGACTAGTCTGATCTCCTATAGCTTTTCTATTGTCCAATCAAGCCCACTCGATACCTGTGCATCACCCTTTATGTTTCTAAGCCATCGACCATGTATTCTTTACCTTTCTGCAATTTTAAAGTATTAAACGTAATTCGTATTCTTGGTCTGCAATATTATAAAAAAAACTTCATCTTGTAGAATTAGATATAACACTGCTATTTCTGAAAACAACTACGGTAATATAAAAACACTACTTGCTATCTCTTACTGTGACTCACAACAGATGCAGCCTGTACACACAAGCAATTGTTGAGAAGCAGCTGACACTAATTTGATGCCCTGCAGTAGGGCATGTTCTCCACCAAAGTCAGCTCAAACCATTGGTTACAAAAAGAACACTGGATTTTAAATCCCCGCAGTTGAGCAAAGACACTGTTTTGAATTCAGGTGAATGTGATACACCACAGCTGCAGTAAAATACAGATTTTGTTAAGCCAGTTTAACAATAGATAACCAACCATGAAAGGCATAAGCCAGAAATCAGGTGAAGGTAATGAGAGTAAAGTTTTTAATCCTGAAACTGAACTTTTTCCTGCAACAAGTTTACACAGAAAGCTACCAGTGAGTTACCACCACGTGTTTTAGGCATTACAACCATCATGTACTGTACCAAGATGGGAGGAAGGATTTCAAAAAAGTATCTGTGTGAATCTGTTTTACAGCTTATAATTTCATTGTATTCTCTCCTTAGCTACTGTGCAATACAATGCCCAAAGTAAAATTTGAAATATGGTGTTCTTCTCATTGGCATAGAAATACAAACTCAAACAAGAATATAATGTGGATCAGCATATGTTTTGAAGAACATATATATTTCACAGGAAAAATATTAAACATCACCTTCTTGTACCACTTGCACACATGTATATGCTCACACCTGCATGAGTATTCTTTGCTTACATAAACAGGAGACAAAGTTCCTTTGTCCATGTTTGCCTATCATGTAAAAACCTCTGCACAGGTTCCTGCTTTGATAGATATAACCTACTTCAATGGCAAAGCTACAAAATTATATAAAGTTTTTCTGAAGCAAAAATACTCATGATGTATAGAGAAGTGGGTTGAAGGAGGGTCTGAGTCTTTCAAATTCTTCCTGCCCTCATTCCCAAATTTTACTGAAAAAAAAAGTCTTCTTTTCACTGTTCTGGCAGCTCAGATTACTAGCGTAGTCACTGTAATAAGAGATTCCTCATACTAGGGACAGTCTAAGAGTGCTGTAGCTGCTTGTGCAAAGAGCAGCTCTCAGGGTTTTTTTCCAAGCTAAAAATCCATATACATAAAGAACTGCAGTTACTTTCAAATCAGTCATTAGCTTACAGTAGGTTTCAAGATGGAGGTGGACAGGCTGTAACTGGAATCTCAGTTCTACTGATCTATGTCACAACTTGATTGTTTTCATTATTGCATTTAGCCATCATTTGACCATAATTCATTTTTTCCAGACTTCCAGGAATTTTACAACCAAAACTAAAGTACTATATGGTTTTACAATAAAGTGTTATCCTTTAAAAAATATGAAGTTCTGTCACAAGGCTTTAAACAAAAGTAGCATCATTATTTAACAGACTGATGGTACCTATGGGTCTTTTGTTATATTCATACAGATAGGATCTCCAAAGGACAAGCTCACTGCTTTTAGAAATATATTTTTGCATACAGTTCTGCTGACTAAAATAATGGCCAAAAGCCATCTCTCTGAGTGCAGAAGCTGAGTGAGGGGTTTCATCAGTCTCATTTTAAAAGTAGAAATTTAAGTCAGATTTAAGTGGATTTTACACAATCAAAACATTTTTTGCTCTAGACCTTCATCCTGGTAATAGCACAAGTTCTGTCACAAATGAACGTGACTTACTATATACTAGTTCCTTACCCTTCTTTTAGCTTGTTTGCCTATCCTTGACTTCATACAGAAACCATCCTTCTTTTAGTGTTTGGTTAACCTCTACTACGTGGCACGTATACCAAGACAACCTTTCACTAATCCTTGGAAATAAAGCATTTCATATTGAAACAGCATACATAAATGTCACAGCAGTATATGAAAACTCACGCTTATAACATACAGCATTTCAGAAAACTTCCTGTTAATGATTTGTTTCTGGTCTTTAACGACTAAAAACAGAGGAGTTACTTTGATGCACTTGAACACCAAGCCTGGAAGACTGTTCTTTGAAAGAATGGTTGTCTGGCATGTGAATAAAGACCCAGCCCCGCTTCTGGAAGCAATCCTACTGTTGTGCTTATAATCCCAGGGGCCAGAACTCACTATTCTCTCCCAACATGACAGCACCTAGATACCCATCTGTAGTGACACTGGCCTCCAAAACCATATCGCTCTTGAGGTTTTGTTCATAAGACTCTACAAAATAATACATCCATATCTTGGACCACTTCCCTGCAGTACCCAGCTTCCCACAAATGCTAGAAAACTTAGAAACTTAATTTATTTTTATTTCAGATCAAGGCATAACAAGTACAAGTGTTGTGCTACCTAACACTTAGGAACCGAAACCTTTTATAGGTTATTGTGTGAAGTTTATGAGAGGACCCAGAAATACATTTTAAAAAAAAAAGTATCTAAAAAGTTGTAGAAATATCATGACCCACATTTCAACTAAGAAACAAAAATCTAGATCTACTCAAGGAGAAACTGGCATAAGGAAAATCTTCTATGCCCAGAAACCAAAGACAGGAAGGCCAATTGCAACCCTCCTGTTAGTCAGTAACTACTGAAGACACAGAGTCCAGATAAGCCTTTGGCATTAATATAAATTCAATACAAAATAGAAAAAAATACGAAGTACACACAATCATTCATTTACAAGAGAGCAAACTGAAGCTGCACCACAGAAAATTCCGAAAGAAAAAAGCAAAGCCAGCTGAAATACTACAAAGATTCTCCAACAGTCTTATACACATAAGCCACATGAATTTCATTCATTATTTTGATCAGTTTTCTTTACATGGGGATTATAAGTGAAGACCTGGCCTAAAATAAGCAAGTAAAGGGAAGGCAATAACTAGCACAGAGGATTTTTATTTGGATTTCAGTAAAAGTTCACAATGCCACCTCTTGAGAGTTTAGTAACCATGACCTTTCACCTTTTACAAAAGACACCTGATTTTTCTTAAATACCACCTCCTTTGCAATGGCTGTGATACAGTTGTTTTCCTTTCATCTTAAAGATGCTTTCCCAGCCAACTTTTATATGCTACATACCAAAATTACATAGGGGATTGAGACAGCACTGCATCTCAACCATTAAAGCAGGGCAGCTGGCAGGAATATTTTCTTTATTTAAATGACAAACAGCTGAGCTGACCAGAAGCACCTGGAGTTTTCACCCCATGAAAAATAGACCAAAATAAATATAATTTTGGGGGGAGGAAGGTGGAACTGTTTTCACAGTCAAAAGTACTCTAGCTTATTTTTTTCCCAATCTTTAGAGCCTGCAAAACAGTTTTCTTAACGCCTCTCTCCTCCCCAAAATTACACTAAGAACTTGGAATTATGCATGAAGACATTGCTGCTTTACAGCTTCTGAAAATTTATGATTCAGAAAAACTGTCCAGTGGATAGGAATCTTCTTTCATATGCACCTAGTTCAAGCTATTTTCCACTCAAAATTCGCTAAGGTTGCCCTGAGCTGTTTCTCCAGCAATCCTATTATCTTTAGACCACACCTTGTGTTGCAGGATTTTTCGCTCTGCTGGCCTCCATAAGGACTTGCTCCTAGCCTTTTGTGACAAGTTGTGCCCCCTAAAAATCTTGTGTATGTAGCCTGTGAAAATGAACCAAAGCAGTCATCTGGTTCAATAAAGAGTTTACCAGTTCATTCAAAACACTACCTTCATCTGCAGATGTTTAAAAAGACAGAACACAGATGACTCAGACCTCTTCAGCAAGTTTAAGGATTTCTGTGAGCTTCTTCAGTCTGTTTTTATAAATAGATGCTCATTTTTGAGCATTTTGCACTAAAAATAACTTCAGAAGAACTCAAAACTAGCTAGCCTTAATTTGACTGAGGAAACAGGTATACAGATTTTAGAGTCTTCAAGCATCAAGTATTTAAAATCTATTTTTTTTAGAGCATAAAGCAAAGACTGAGTATACACTAGAACTCTGTCCCCCTTGGAGACAGATCACTTCATCAAAACTATGGTGAACATTTCTTTCTTTCAACTGTGATAAGAAGCTTCTTCCAAGAAGGAATGAAAGAGGGTCTACCAACATATACCTCCTCAACATGATGATGTTTCACCAAAAGGGGATAGAGAGAATCAGTGCTAAGAAAGTAACTTATTTAAATTTTTGATTCTCTAGTACACTGTTTTCTCCTCCAGTCTTTCCTTTCTACCAACATTTCATGAGGAAGGTTGCAGACCCTTACTTTTAGGATGCGACTTTTAAAAATATTTTAAATTATTATACATAATTATATATTCTTAGCTTTACCTCCTTTCCACATGCACACAATTTCCTCTACTCTCACTCTCTCCTCATAGTGACTCAGCATTTCTGAGGCATTCAGGCCTAATCCCATTAACTAGACATATGACTCATATTATTCTGACCACCATAGTGAAGTTCCACAGAGAGGCATCTACTGAATAATATCCATACTTCGGGAGTAGATCCACAAGAACAGTAGAAGAAGAAAAAACGGTATTTTTTCCCTCAACTGTCCACTGTATCTGTATATCAGGCCATCATATCTGTCTTTACTTTTTTCCCATGGTAAAAAAAAAAGAAAAAAAGAAAAAAAATCAATCCTAAATAGACCTTTACCTAAATATAAAGGTATTTTGGTTATTTATTACCAATGTGGAAGTAATCAAAATCTCACAAGCAGGACTTATTACAATAGAGCATTTATTTTAATTCTGGGAAAGGATAAAAGCAAGTACTAAAAAAATCCTCCCCCTAAATCAAAACCCTTGTGTATCTTTCACAATCAATTGCATTCCATTTTGTTTATGGGTTGCTTGGGTTGTTTTTGTTTTACACCTTTGGCAGACTTTTCCCTCCCAAATTATTGCTCCACAGAGAAGGCTATAGTAAATAGAACAAAATAACTAAAATAGAACAAAATATTTGTTATTATATTATTGGTAAAATACATGAAAGGGCAAAGAAATTGCTTCATGCAAGGAAAGGTACAAGATGCAAGTTCAGGGTGAAGGTGTCAAGTATGATGATCTGGAAGCAAGACATGCAAAAATCCATCCAGACAGTGAACATAATCGACACTTTCCTTCTATTAAATGGATCAAAACAACAGAAATTTCATTCCAGAAGAATGAAGTCAACATAGTGTCACTCTCCATAAAGGCCCAAGATTAAAGAACCCTTCTGTGGGGAAAAACTGCAGCGTTAGCATTCCCTATGCTTAAAAGGGACACAGTGAGTAGAAAGAAGATCCACTTTACACAATACTCAGCAGCAAGCATGCCCAAGGAAATCAATACCCATTCTGTCAGCACTGATTTCTGCAGAGCTTTACCCCAACAGGTAGATACAAGGTAGGGCATAGGAAGGATAGGCAATGGCAGCAACATTCTTGTGGGCAATGCTGGGTAAGCAAAGAGATTGGTGGATATTCTTCTGTATGGCTTCCCAACAAAAAATCACATCTAGAAACACGGAGGAAGAATCATTCCCAAAGGCAGGTCTGTAAGCACTTGTAAATTCCTTTCTTCCCACACCCCTCTCCAAAGACAGGAGCAGCAAGCCCCCAGTGTTTTAAGTGTATTTTAAAAACTGGTCTCACTTTAAGGGGTATTAGTTCTGAATGTAGTATTCTCTTAGGTATCTTGATCGTTTCCAACAATCAAATAGCTTTTCTGTGCCATCCATAACATATTGGTATTTTTAGATGCATCCAAAGGCACACAGTGGTATCCATGTAATAATAAGCTAGGAAGAAAGCCCTCTTCCTTTTAAAACCTCAAAACTATACAACTATTTCATCTTTTTTTTTCAAAGATTATTCAGTGCCTCCATATTAATTCCACATCTGAAATAACACATAATCAATATCAACAAAAGCATATATAATGCATATTAAATTCGTTGTTTAAAATTTCAAGAGAAATGCAACTTAATAGGTAGGAACTCCATTACAGCTAAGTCCTTCAATAATACCATACACACTGATCTGCTTTGCTGTCTCTTGTCTACCATGGTAATCTCTTCCTATTCAAACCATCTTTACCTTCAGTTTACCTTTTATCCTGCAGGAAGGAATTAACTTTTTAAATAAAAATTTATAAAAATTGGATGGAATCATTCTAAAGGGTACATCCTGAGTCATATAGTTTAGACACATTTACTTTGCTACCAGTTATTCCACAAAGCCAAGGTTTGTTCAATTCCACACAAAAACAACAAAGAACTTACTGTCTGCATCTGTACAAAATGGAAGATTAGATCTTGTCATTAAAAATTAAGAATGCAGGTATTATTTGACAAAAAATGGTAACTCTTTACAGTGGTCTTCAGTGGTCATACACTGGCAGGAAACTAATACTGCATTTATTAAGTAGTGCATGGTACACCCAAAGCTAAGTAACTCATGCTGCAAGTTCAAGATTCTAAAGAAGCTCCCTATGCAGGCATTTCTGCGGTCTAGAGCTACTTTGGAAGAAGCATTTTGTTGATGATGGTATACCAGAAGTGAAAACACCAGAATCTGTGCTGATCAGACAAGTCAAATTTGCGTAATTCCCATTCGTTTTATCTACAGTTCAGCTTCTGAACCATCCTGAAATTGAAAATAATTATTTTTATGTTAACACAAGGGAAATTACACTCTTGCTTAATTACATGTCCTCCTTTAATTCCTAAAAATGGTGGTAAGGACCACCACTAAGTCTCAAAGATCTACAGATCTCACACAGTTCCACACACACATCACTGTTTTGAAAATTCTGCAGATGAGCCTCTTTTTACTCTACCTTGTCATGTTTCTGCTGGTGCCTTGCCCTAGTATCGAGGATATGGTAAGGAGTCTCAGAGTCTTTGTTGATGTAATAGATTAGTCTTGAAGGCAGTGTGATTTCTTTCTGTATTGCATTGCTGTAGCTGTTATTTTTACTGTTACTGCTGTTACTCTGTTGAAATGTATTCTCTTCATCTGCCAGTTCTCCCTCTATACCACTTGCTGTTTCATTCCAATGCAGGCCTGGGGAAGAAAGATATGCCAGCCATAATTTAGATAGCAGAATGTGTTTATTTCCATTAAAAAGCTACATATTTGCTTGCAGTTTTCTAACATTTTACTAATCACTCAAGCAAACAAAAAGATAGCTTACTCATTGAGCTAGATCCGATTCATTTTTCACACATTAAATAAATAATGTTCTTTCTGAAACCATTTTATTGCATGTATATTATCATATGCATACACAGATTATAAATATTTTAATGCCTCTCAACCTCCAAAAAAACTTAATGGATATGTAGTTAAGCCCTACACCCTTTTTGACAGCTAAATTCTCTCACTAAAAAAAAAAAAGAAAAAATCTACAAAAGGCTAAGAATACTCCCCATGTTTCTACGACAAACTGAATTCAGACTCCATGTGCACTGAATGCTAAACTTCCTATTATGTAAGGTGAATTGATTTCTACTTCTTTTAACTTTGACAAGAGCTCTTTTCTTCGGCAGCAGCTTTTCAAACGAACTCCTGTATCCCTCCTCATTAAAATTTCAAGATACAGTCAATCAACACCTTGTAACAATATAACAATATTACAATGTAACAGCAGTGTAATAACAATAATAACACGAAGCACAGACCGGCTACATTCACTTTCCACATGTCATCTACGTGCAACCAAGAGCAAATAAACAACAAAGCAACACAAGAAAATCCGATCCCGAACTGACAAATTAGCAGATCCTCGTCCACATGCGCCGTGACACACACAAAGCCCACCCCAGCTTTTTGTGTCGCATCCCTCAGCGGCGGCTGTCCACGCACAGCATCCCTGCCCAACACACTGCAGCACCGGCACCGCACGTACCTCTCTTTCGTGCAAGCAAGCAAACCAAGGGAATATTAGCCGAGCCCCGGGTTTACACACGCCGACAGACACGTACACTAAGCTGGAAGCGGGGAGGGATGAAGGGAGGATTGAGGGTAAATGGATGTTGCCAGGGTTTATGGCGGGGGACGGGGGCCCGCAGACACCTCACGCACAGGCACAGACACACACACACACACACACACCCGCCATACCCACCGGCGGCCGCCGCAGCCGCGCGGGCCCGGGGGCAGGAGGAGCCATGGAGGAGCAGGAGCAGCGAGACGAGGCGGCCGAGGAGCGGCAGGAGCGCAGGGTGGCAGCGGCCACCGCAGCCAGGCTGCCGCAGGGAGATGCTGCCGGGCGGCTTCATGGCTCATAGCGCCCCGGGGCGGGGGGGCAGCGCGGCACAGCCCTCACGGCCGGCGGGCTGTGCCCGGGGGACGCGGGCGGAGCGGGGCGGGCGGGTCCCCGCGGCGGCACCGCCCGTCCACCTCCTGCCGCCGCCGCCGCCGCCGCCGTGAGGGACAACGCCGACACCTCAGCGCGGGGGCGGGCGGACGGCGGAGCGCGCGCACCTTCCGCGCCCGCCCCCGGCCCCCCGGCCCCGCGCACGCGCGCAAGGGGCCGGGCGGTGCCGCGCGGCCGCCGCTGTCCGATGTGCTGCCGACGGGACCGCCGGGACCGCGCACCGGGATGGGATGGGGCTGGATGGGATGGGGCTGGATGGGATGGGGCGGGGCGCGCCGCGCCCGTCACGGGTCCCGCCGAGAAGCCAGGTGGTGCCGCCCGCCCGCCCGCCCGCGGGGTGACCGCCGCCAGCTTCGCGCACAAGCCGCTCCCGGCCGCTGGGTCCCGCGGGTGCGCCTGGACGGGCTGAACCGGCAGCCAAGAGCGGGTCCGTGACTCCCCGGGCGGGAGCCTGGGGCACCCTCCCCCGCGGCGCGCACAGCTGCGAACAGCCAGGCTTGGGAATTATTTTAAAGAGCTTTAGCGCAGAGTGAAACTACTTTGAAATCCGGTAGCCCTGAGGAAAGTTGGGAGGAGGGTCCGGAGACGCGAAACAGCGGCGGGGTCAGCTTGTTCTTCCGAGAGCAGGGGCAAGGGGGTCGTCTCGCCCCGGGCGGGTCTGCAAGTGGGCCATTTCACAGCTGGCAGTCCCCAGCTGCTGCAGGCAAGGGACCCTTCCTAGAAACAGCTCCTGCTCCAAGCGTTTTGTGGAGCTCCAGGCTCCCCTCTGCTCCCTCCCAACGCCTCCAGCTCATAGCACTGTTAGTTTGCATCCCACTCTCTCACTTCTTCAGTCCCTGTGACCCCACTCATCCCTGCTGACTGCAGCCAACCTGCAATGAAGTGGGTGTGGAGGTGAGAACCAAATGTTACCAAAAAAACTGTGCATATATTGACAAAGAAAATGGACGAGTGTACAATAAAGAAAGAGAAGGACTGCAGTGAGGTGCCTAGTCAGATTGTGATCTGGTGTAAATCTGCTCTGGCCTGCTGTGTTCAGCAGCAGACAGCATGGACCATGAACACAAGGATTAGTGCATTTTTGTGCAGTGAATAGTACCTCTCATACTTCAGTCCAGCATGCCTGGGGTGAACCAGCAATATGAAGAATAGTTGCAAAGATAAAAATAACTTCAAAGAGATATGAGAAGAGGAATCTGCTGCTTTGTATTCATTCCGTGACTTAAGGAATCAGAAAACCAGAGTTCAGAGACAAGTTTAGATATGGAGTTCTTAGCAAACATTTTGCCCAGCAGACTTCTAATATCCAAGAATAGATATGTTTCATTTTGGTGCAAGTCTTGCTGCTGAGGAAATAAAGATGTTTCTCCTTTTTTTTTTTTTCTGGATATTGCTTTTTATTTGTCAGCTTATTCTTTCTAATCTGAGTGTATACCACATGGATTTCCAGAAAGATAGGAATTTTCTCTGTTTCGCATAATTTTCTCTACATTCTGGCCTGAATTAATTACCATTTTTAATTTAGAAAATATAAGCAGATCAAAACTACAGTGCAGACTACTTCATAGCAGTAGTGTTATTCCTTTTTTAAAAAGTTAATTCTGAGTTCTCATGCTGTGCAAATAGATGCTGCTTCTGGAAACTCAAATCTAGGTGTGTGACAGCAGACAAACACATAGAAGGGACAGACCCATGGGATGGGCAGGTGTGAAAAAGAACAGAGAACATCCCTTAGGATTTCTCTTTCAACAGCAGCTCCTGTTTCTTCTCATAAACATATAAACAGATCAAAGGATCTGTTACATCAGTGCAGCTAGATCTAAAATAAATAAATACAATTAAAAAATACTTTAGAGCAAAGAACAAAAGAGTAGAATGACCATGCAGTTAAGAAAAGAAATCCAGAAACTAACTTTCACTACACGTGGAAAAAAAACCCCAGACTAGCAACAATGAATGCTAGAAACATCTGCTCTCTGAAAAAATCAGTTCTTAATTTTGTTGGCCAGATTTTGAGCAGAGGAAATAATGATTGCCTCTTTCTACCAAGGTTGTCTAGGTTAAAGATTTTCTAAAGTTCTTTTAACTCACATACAAGCCTGCAGCAGAAGTAATCACCTGAATAACTGTATAAAGCAGACATGGCTACTCTCTCAGGCCCTGGGCATGTAGCTCAAGCTGTGCCTCATAAACCTGCTACAAACCTTCAGATGGTCATATGCAGTTCACTAAGCATAATCAGCTCAAGATGAAGTACCCCACTAGGAATGACAGCTGCTTTTTGTGTTGTTTTTTTTTCTTTAAACTTGCTTTCAAGTTTGAAAGCCACTATGAAATAATCCCAGATAGATTGCACTGCAGATGTCTGAAAACAAAATACCAGAAGCATGGATTATCATAGCAGCACTAGCATAGTCAGTCACTTTGGTAATAACAGGTGACACCAATTGGGCAGCTCCTGACTGACCTCGGGCGATGAAGGGTACAAATGCCATGGGGAGCAGGCAGCACAAACAGCACAGCAGAAACAGCCATTGCTGAACTCTGCTCTCAAGGAAGGGCAGTAGTCGAGTCTGACTATGATTGATTCATATTACTGTAGCACTAGCAGGCTCAGCCGTAGGCCAGTGACCTGCTGCGCTCTGTGCTGTACAGACACAGGACAAAATTACAGATCTCCGTTAAGAGAAATTTCCTTTTTATTTGCAGTAGCAAATAACCCAGCCAGTGCTGTAAATAACAGAAGAAATCTAAGAGCTCTAGGAGGGGTACCAAGCACACTGCAAGTCTAAAAAGCGGTAATTACATAGGGGACATTTAACAATAGACCCTCATTAGTTGGCACATAAGTAATCCACATAACCTGTAATCTGTGGTAGCCATTCTCTGTTTCTCAACAGGGGGTTAACAGCTAAGACAAAGCTGAACTGAAACTTCATGCCACCCATATTTCTTTACTTTGTATCATATGTAGTGTAAGTATGGATAATTTATACTTACAAGAAAACCTGATAATTGCAATGAACAATGCATTGCATTAGTATAACTTGTTTTCTTAATCATACATGTTTGAATACTCACCGATTCGCCATGTTCAGCTATTCTCAAAGGGTTTCTCAGTCAGCAGAGCGAAAGAGAATATTGCTATTTGAAGGGCTGTTAGAATACTTTTTTTAATTATAAGACCATCTCTTGCTACATATCCCACCACCTAACAATGCAGCAGCAAACCAGTATTTAGCCATAAAAATAAGTACTTTTCATTTATTCTATTTTTTTTAGCTTCTTTAAATACTTTTTAGCAACTGAGGGGGTGTGTGGGGAGGAAGAAGTAAGTGATACAGTAACGTGACAAATGCATAAGACAGGTTCAGGAAACAGAGCATTGACTCTAGATTCTTCAGAAGCAAGCATCACTTTTCAAACTGTAGATCTAACAGAACTGGGTTTCCATTAGTCTTCACTTTTTCATCTTCTTTATTTCAACCTAATACACTTTAGGAGGAAGAGCTTTCTCCTGTTACTTATTTTGTAGTTCAACAGAGCCCTAAACCCAGTTTTCACCTCCATGTACAATAGTGGAACTATGTACAATATTGGGCATAACACTATTTTAAACACAGTAATACTATAAAATAAAATACAGTAAAAATGCCAGTTTTCTTTCAGAACTGTCACTCATTTACCAAGATCTGCATGCACATCATCATTAATAACTGTTCACCAGATGTACTGCCCAAATGAACTCTTTTGCGAGTACTCTATGTTCCACTTCAGGGTAGAATATACACAGTAATTAGGATATACTTGCCAGCCCCCTCCCCTCAACACTGTGAAATGTTAAGGTTGAGGTCAAGTGAAGAAAGTAAGATTATAAAAAGAATATATCTTACTCATGTTCAGCAGGAAAGGAAAGGGAACGCAGCTGGGCTGCTAATAGCAAATGGGTCAGAGGGTTCATTAATTGCAGTTCAAGTTGTATCCAGGTGAAACTCGGCATCAATTCTGACTGCAGGAAAAAATATTTTGAACAAAGCATGACAGACTAATTTCAGAATTAATTCACCGTGTCCTCTTGTATAATTAACTAGGCATTCATAGGCAAAGGATTTTACAAGCTGTTTAGCAGGATTCCTCAGCAGTGTTTAAACAACTGCATATAGGTAATTTCATACAAGATACTGCAGTGAGGGTTTATGCCATCAGTGGAAATATTACGATACTAAAAGCTCCAATTATTCACCATATTGTCCAAATTATTAATGAGAGAGAGAGCAGCAGCAGAAACATGTTGGTCAGTGAGGTTACCTAGAACATGTTTGTCAACTGTTCTGATACAGATATACTTAGCAAGTAAAACATATGCCACCAGCAGGAAAAAAAATGCTGCTCTTCTGATAAGCAAGCACTTTTAACTGTGGCTGTGACAGCAGTCTCCTTCTTGCTAGCTTGTTTCACTTTTGTGAGGTAAAATGTAAAAATAATGTCAGGAAAGTAAGATGGGGTGGCAGGGGAAATCTTACTTAAATATGTACTTTGATTTTTATATCCTTCAAAATTAATACATTGAGTTCATATCCCAAAGACTTGCCACAGCTGATCTAACATTTCCAAGTGGCAGGTTCTAAAAAAACTAGATTGCAGCTATTCCAGAGCACCTTTGGAAAGGGAAGGGAGGATATTGTCACTCATTCTCTGACACACTTGCACAGGGGAGAAGAGGACTGCAAAAGATCTCTGGAGTCATCAAGTGCAGCCCCTAGCTACCACTGGCTATCCATTCTACAGTTCAGTCCATATATTGTATTTAAAAGTAATTGGGGGTTTTGCCCTTCTACTGCCACTGGAAGGCTGTTTCATAAGCTCGTGGTTAGAATCACTAAGTAAATCCTCCTACTTCCCAGCCTAAATTTATTCATGCCCAACAGAAACCCATTTGTTCTCGTGCCAACGCTAGCACTAATAGCTTGTTCCCCCTGTTGGTAAAAATG